GCGGGAGAAAGATAAAAAAGGAAGAAAAGCAAAGCGAGGTTAGGGTAGAAAGATCTAGAAGTTACGAGATGATGGTGAAGGATTAAAAAACAAAACATTTGCTGGCATATGCGGGCTATTAGCACGCGCTTTTGGGAAGGAAGGATGCACGCCTGGTTCTTTAAGTTTTTTTAAGTTTTTTATGAGGACTTTCAGTTTTTTTGGTTGTATACATGTATTATATATATGGCTTAACTTTATTTTTTTTGTGCCCCCTTCAATTATGGGCCCGGTCGTCCTGGCTAAGGGCCGGCTCTGTACACAAAACATATGTTTGATGATTGAGGTTGAGATTAGATTTGCATTAGATTACATGGGATTTGAGAAGACTATCAAAAGATCTGTTTGGTACTAACATGATTAAGTGGTTAGATTAAGTAAAATGTGTTATTACATTTAAGTCTAGGAGGATTAGACATTATCGAATTCACATTGTGTTTAGGTCACCAAAGGCTTGAGTAAAACTATGAATCCTATTTAGCTGTATAATCCAGCTTACAACGTACGGTATAGTCATGGAAGAATGAATGTCCCAACATACTAATACTCTAAGCAACGACAACAAGCAGTATTACATAAAAAGAGGCCTAAAAGCCTTGGTGGTTGATGGGGATTATGTTGTAAGTAGGCTCAATCAGTGGCTCTGAAGTACCCTTAGACTTCATTCTGGTGCTGAATATGGCGCCTCAGTTTAACTGATGGGCTTCATCTTCAAATTTCATTTTCATAAGGAAGCTCTTAATAATGAGAATTCCATCATGTCAAATGGATGAAATTAATAATTAAATAAACAAATAATAAGGAACCAGAGCGTGATTAGTAATTTGGATAAGTTACCGACAATCCAACATGGAGATGACCGTCGAGCGGGGTTATCACAGTGATTGTGACCCTCCTCCTTCCTCCTTGCTTGACCCCCAGGATTGAAACCTAGGGTCTCTTTCCTCCCAATATAACCACACACAAAACAAGGAGATGACCTATAACCTGTTTCACAGACTATGCCCAGTTGGCTTCTAAACAAACAGCTCCTTTGTTTTATTTTGAGCCACTCAACTGTTCATAATATGATTATTAACGTCCGCGAACTTCCATTTCATCTGTACACACTCACCTGCATAAATTTTATATTGTCACAAATGTCGTGATACGTGGCTAGCCATATGCACTTGAATTAAGAGTTTTAAGTGATAGATGAAAGTATCACTCCTGGCATGGCCTTTCCCTTAGATAAAAAATTTTAAAGGTATTTTATGATGATTTGCAAGAAAGGAAAGCTCTAAACTCAAATTTGAGAGAAGAATTACATATTTGTGTATATTGAAATCGTCAACGATGGCCCAACACACTTTGTCTTAGGACTAGAGGTGCCAACACAAAAGAGAAAACAAATCCTACAAAACCCTAGAAAGAGAACAAAGCATATAGACAAAGTACATTATATTCTCTATGTTTATCCATTGTCTTCAAATGTCAATCTAGTGGCAGCTTGGTGACCACGTTTTGATGGGGTTGCTTTGGTGGATCCAGGGACAGACTCAGGATGTTAAATTGGAGTGAGTTAAATTTACTTTATGCACACACATATTATACTTGACAACACAAGTGAATTTAATAGAGAAAAAAAATTGAGTGATTGAGGTTTAATTTGTTAAGAATACGGACTGATTAAGGCTCGACTAGTTTGATTTATCTATTAGGGCTGCTATTTGATTCACTTGAATCGAGGACCCTTACAACATTTTCAAAGAATAAGATGGTCATTTCGGCAAGACTAGTAACAATATTTACAGAGAAGCTATGTATTTGGAGGGAAACTATGGTCAAATCATTGAAGGAATAAGATGGACCTAAATTGACCCTTTTACCCTTCAAATTCACAGTTAGATTGACATAAGTGGCATAATATAATGACTAAAATGTAACTCGTGACAGAGTATGAGGACTACATAATTCAATAAATATATTTAAGGACCAAAATGCCACTCGCGACAGAGTCATCTCTAAACAAACAAAATTATTACATTAGAAAATGAAAGTATATTTATATGTAACTCAAAGCTGATAAAAGATAGATCTACCAAATATCGCAAGAACTTTCACCAAACGAGTTTTGATTACTCTTTTGCATTCTAGTAAAATCCACAAAATCAAAATTTGACTTCTCGATTTCAGACCAAAATGACTTCTCCATGTTTTGCTGTCTACACGACTCCTTGGTCAAAACTTGTCTTGTCTATTTGTGTATATAATATGCATGAGTTAAGTTAGTGTGCACCACGTTAACGAGTTAAGCATTGAGTTGAACTTAATTATATAAGTCACTAACAAGGAGTTTCTAAAATAATTAGCCTTTTTTTATGTTTTTTGGTGTTGGTTTTTGGATAGTTTACCAATAAGATGAACATGCAGAAGTTTATCTTAAGGTATCATTAGCTCTTCTACTTTGCTTCGAGAAATCTGTTTTTCTTTTTGACTTTCATGGGTTTGTAATGTGACTGGTAGCCAGCTTCTCCTAGTTTATACTGATCAAACATCAAATATTATATTGGCCTAAAATGGGGACTAATTAACCGCTATTGGATGTTGATTACTCGATATTATTAACCTAGTCTCTGTCATTATATGAAGTTAATTGAATTTTTACTTCTTGGGTACCTGTTAAACCTAAACTTTAACCTCTTTAAGAAGGAACATAGCAAACAAAGAAAAAAACTGTTGTAGAATAAGCACTTTACTTTTATCAGCGGTTGGCTTGGCTTGGCCATAAATGTCAATAAGTTTTAAATTAAAGTTATCACTCCTACTTTGTGCTTTTGGAATATTATGAATAGCCACCCACCGCTTATCTATTACCACCTTGAAAAACTTAGTTACAATGAGGATAATATTGTTTTACTATTCCCGGTCAATAATGCTATCTATGTATGGAAGTGTTATCACGCTTGCTATCCTCGTTTCATAAAAGTCTTTCTCATAACTAGGGTCAATTAGAAGAGACAAGCCTTAACCCTCGTATTAGAATATTAACCCCTTCGTTTTATGGTTTGACAAACTATAAAACGAATAAAATCAACATATTTATATAAAAATGAGTACATGGAAATATTCTAATCCTATGTGTTGTATATTTGCATTGGAGGAGGTAAAAAATGTCACAAAATCCAAATCTAAAGAGTAACAAATGGGTAAGAATTGGAGGGACGTTGAACATGGACTCCAAAATTGGCATGAATGGCGGAGCAAACAGAATTCAAAGATGTAATAAGTCAATTCATAGACTGAAAATCAAAGGCCGGTGTGTCAACAGGGTAATGTAATGAACCACAGTTGCAACTAATAAGGACAGGCATTGAGTGTTTTGGATTTACATACTTGTTTTGCATCATTTAACTTTTAATCTGAGCCGTGCATTATAAATCCGATCGTTGTTTTTACGAGTTTAAGGTTTGATGAAGAAAAAAAACTCAAAAACATAAATATAAATCTTTGTTAGGGCCCAAAGAAATGACTAGGATTTTATAGATTTCTAGAGAGACGCTCTTAAGGTCTTAACAACAAATTTGACCCCACATTCACAACGGACTAAAAACCAACGTCTCTCTCCCATTTCAATCCCCACTTTTTCTCACCAAATTCTCTTTCACTGTTTTATTAGTACCCCCATTATGGCCTCCTCTGTTTTCATCCTCTGTTTCATCCTCTGTTTCACCATCTTCAATATATATAGCTTCCTCGGATCTGAATCTTAGATTCTCCAATACAAAACACAACACACACTTTCCTTCAATTTTAGCCACACCCAGCGCAACCCACAAAACAATACACACAGAAAAGCTCAAGTTTTCTAATCAACATATTTATATAAAAATGAGTACATGGAAATATTCTAATCCTATGTGTTGTATATTTGCATTGGAGGAGGTAAAAAATGTCACAAAATCCAAATCTAAAGAGTAACAAATGGGTAAGAATTGGAGGGACGTTGAACATGGACTCCAAAATTGGCATGAATGGCGGAGCAAACAGAATTCAAAGATGTAATAAGTCAATTCATAGACTGAAAATCAAAGGCCGGTGTGTCAACAGGGTAATGTAATGAACCACAGTTGCAACTAATAAGGACAGGCATTGAGTGTTTTGGATTTACATACTTGTTTTGCATCATTTAACTTTTAATCTGAGCCGTGCATTATAAATCCGATCGTAAAATCCGATCGTTGTTTTTACGAGTTTAAGGTTTGATGAAGAAAAAAAACTCAAAAACATAAATATAAATCTTTGTTAGGGCCCAAAGAAATGACAAGGTTTTTATAGATTTCTAGAGAGACGCTCTTAAGGTCTTAACAACAAATTTGACCCCACATTCACAACGGACTAAAAACCAACGTCTCTCTCCCATTTCAATCCCCACTTTTTCTCACCAAATTCTCTTTCACTGTTTTATTAGTACCCCCATTATGGCCTCCTCTGTTTTCATCCTCTGTTTCATCCTCTGTTTCACCATCTTCAATATATATAGCTTCCTCGGATCTGAATCTTAGATTCTCCAATACAAAACACAACACACACTTTCCTTCAATTTTAGCCACACCCAGCACAACCCACAAAACAATACACACAGAAAAGCTCAAGTTTTCCTTCTTTTTCTATTTTTTTATATAGTTTTTTTTAAGTATTTAATATCAGAACACTACAGCAATAGGCCAACTCTCTGTTTATCTCTCTGTGTCTGTCTGTGTTTTGGTGGCAGTTACAAAAGGGTTCTAAATATAGGCAAAGTGCGAACGGGTATTATGAGGTAATATACTAGTGGATGACAAATTGGTTTAGGCCTAAAAAAAGCTCCTCTGTTTTCGTGTTAAACCAGTGGCTTGTCTCTGTTCTATCTCAGAGTCTTTGGGCTTTCCAATGTCTAGAAGACAGATTCCTCTGTTGACATAACAGATTTTTTTTTTGTGAGGTTGATTTTGTTTTCAATCTCCCCACCCATTTTCTTTCCGCTATGGGTTTTTTAATTCTTTTCTTTTGGTTTGGATTTCAGTCTCTCCACAATGATTAGGCATTGAAGGAATCTGTAATTCACTAATTGCAGTAATTTTCGACAACCATTTGCTTCGGAATTTGAATCGAAAGATGGCATCGTCACAGGTTGAAATGGCGGCCTCTGCGCCTTTCGGGTGCGTTTTGAGAGATCACAAATGGCGAGACAGATGTAGAGAGAGAAATGCCAGAGCCACACAGGCCGCTTTTCAGAACAATCTGAAGAGCTTGGTGAGAGATCACCTTCATACCTGCATTTCAGTCTCTTCAAACTCTGCCTCCAATGGTGACTGCAACAACAACTCCCAAGGCCTTATCGAAAATGTCGATTCCTGGGCTCAAAACAAGGATGGCAACAACACCAACAGCAACAATGTTGGTGGTGAAAGAGATGACGGTTCGACTATGACCCCGAGGCAGTCTCGGGTTCTCCATCGATGCGCAGCTGGTAAACAAGGAAAAGAAACGATTGCAACGACGGAGAGGCAGAGCCAAGAGGCAGAGCTCTTGTCAATGCCCAATTCATTGCCTTCGTCTTCGAGGACATCGACTTCTATGAAGGATGAAACTCTGTCAAGAACAGACAGCCTGGCTGAGATTTCCAATCTGGGAGTTGGAGCTTCTTCGCTGGTTCAAATTTGGGAGAAGAGACTGAACCAATCAAACAGCTTCAAGATGAGTTCCAATGGCAGTGACACAGAGACTAGCAGGTCGAACTCTGGATTGAGCTGTAATGAGAATGAGAATGAGAATATTTTCAATGCTTTCCCTGATTCCAATGCTTCCAATGAGTCCAATGAGTCCAATGCTTCCAATGCACCTTCTTTGGAGAAACAACCATTAAGAGGCTCTGAAGCAGGGGAATCTGTTTTTGTTGATGAAAGATATGACGCTGGGCCGGTTACTGAGGATTCATTTGAGGACTCAACTTCTGATGAAAGTACTACCAGCGAGGGCCAGAGTAATTTGGATGCAAGAGAAAGAGAAAGAGAGAAGGTCCGAGTCGCCGATATTATTAAAAGGCTGAAAGCACAGTGTCCATTATCTTCTCCCAGTGAGGACAATGATCATGATCAACAACAATCTACTGTCATTGCATCTTCGTGTAGAGAACGCGATCGCGAGAGGTCCCTTGGGTTTGATCAGACAGAGCAGCAGCATAAAGGGTTCTGTCAGGTTATAAGTTCACCAAGGATGATCAGAGGCAGGCAGGCATTTACTGATTTGCTTATGCATTTGGAGCGTGACAGGCATAGGGAGCTTGACACAATTGTAGACCGCAGAGCAGTTTCAAGATTTTCGCAAAGAGGCCGAATTCAGGTGGGTTAATTACTCATTCATTTCAACACAAATTTTCCAAAACAAGCTTAGTTATTAATTTACATTGTCTGAGTTGTATAACCCATTTTATCTCTTTATGCAAATTGCAATGCAGCCACATACTGACTTTGTATTATGTTTGTTTGCAGTCATTGCTTCGGCTTAAACTGCTACAGCGGGGCATGGCAGTCATAGGTCAAGATGGACCGCGCCGGAAACCGGCAGCATCTCAAGTGAGCAAATTGCCACAAAGGTCTGCTATCATGCATCTCAGGTACGGTCCATGTGCATTACAACATGGGATTGGAATTTGGATTAGTTTACACGACTCAATGAACTGATGAACATCTATTTGCAAGTCTATGTAATTAAATTCTGTGGTATGTGGAAACAAATAGAATTAATATGGCTTGGTCTTGGTTTGAATGTCATAATTAGGAGGGAGGATTATTTAAGTCACCCCATTGAAACATGTTGATGCTAGGTTGGCTTGCTCCTATTGTAGAATTAGCTGAAGTTAAAGTCTTAATTGCATTGCTTTTATAGGATGGTGGAATGGAGCCAGAGTTTACGCAACACATGATTGTTTGGTGGCTTTTTAAATGCTGAATAAATAGAGTTCAATCTGATTTTGTATACGCTATGTGCCTTTCAATGAGCCAAGTTGGGTTGAGTTCAATGAGCCAAGTTGGACTGAGTTATAGCTTACTCCAGATATCTGACTAATAAGGAAAATGAAAACTTTTTATGCTTTCATTATTGTTTTATGATGAAATATGGTCACTTAGGAATGTTAGTTGAAAGACAGATTGCTCACATAATGTACTGGTCGTCGGTGCCCACATTAGTCAAACCAGAAATTCTAAAGCATACGTCATTGACGAGCAGAAGGAAGAGCAATAGAATCAAAACTAGTTCTAGTTAGTTCAATGAATGGGGTCAGTGAACATTACTCAGAAAGAAATCATTCTGATTTTAGAAATGCTTGGTTGGTAAAGAATTCAGGAGGTGCAGATATAGAAGGAATCTAGTCTTCTGTTTAAGCCACAGAAAGTTAAAATTCTTGCAGCTGTCATCACTTTACTTGTTCCAGGCCATGAATATAAGGCTGCGCACCAGATAAGCAGCTATCATAAAAGAATAGCCAGCCAGATTTGAGTGCTAGATTCAATCTTAAATATTCAACATAATGACAGTAATGTGTATCATTGAAAAAGGAAATCATGTGGACACTGGCAGTTTTTTTTAAGCCTAGCTGGCAACCATATTCATATCTCTTTGGGCTTTGATTAACATTGATATCATTTAATTTCAGGGAGAAATTTAGCACTGGTGTTGAGCAGGGCTCAACAGCTCGGAATGATGCAGCTTCCCAAAAAAGCCCTCATAGGGAGTTAGTAAAGAACATCGGTGTACATGTAGAAAGCTCCTCCACCTCAAATAGGTCTAGTGAAAGCACTCCTAACCATGAAGTTGATACTATTGAGCAGCAGAATACAACCCTGGTAAAGAACCCATTGTCGCATGCTTGTGAAGATTTTCATGAAGAAGTTATCCCTAGTTCAAAAGTCAGTTGCCAAGGAACAAGTTTAGTGGCTAGAAACACCTTGCCACATGCTAGTGAAGATCTTCGTGACGAAGCCAGCTTGAGTTCAAAAGTCACCTTGCAAGTAACAAGTTCAGTGGCTAGAAATACCTTCCCACATGCTAGAGAAGATCTTCATGATGAAGCCAGTTCAAAATCCACCTTGCAAGGAACGAGTCCAATCGCTAGAAACATCTTACGTCATGATAGTGAAGATCTTCATGAAGAAGCAAACCCAAGTTCAGATGTCACTTGGCAAGGAACAACTTCAGTGGCTGGAAAAACCTTCACACATGCTAGTGAAGATCTTCATGAAGAAGTCAGTCCGAGTTCAGAAGTCACCTGGCAAGGAACAACTTCAGTGACCGGAAACACCTTGCCACAAGTTTGTGAAGACCTTCCTGACGAAGTTAGCCCGAGTTCAGAAGTTTCTTGGCAAGGTTCAACTTCAGCGGCTAGAAACCTTGATTTGCAAGAAACCACGGATACAACCACATCCTTGGTTTGTTGGGATGAGAATGATGTAGAAGAACAAGTAGAGGATGATTATGAGTACTATGGAGAATATAGTTATGACTGGATCACTGAGATTTCTCGCCCACGTAGTTACTGGGAAGACCTCAGGAAGGCATGGTACCAAGAGATGCTTGACTCCAACTCAGGAAAAGGGGACATACGCCAACTTATTGAAAGGTACACCGGCATTGCTTTTGCTTTATCTGTTTTGAATTTGATTTACAGATTTCAAGAACCTATTTCTAATATCACAGGAATGAAGAGAAGGGTAAATTGATGTAAATCTGAATATTGATTCATGTCTATTATAATTAAAAACTAAATGCTCTCTTTTTAGTTGGAAACCTTCCAAAAATGGTACAATCATAATGCTAAATTTACTAATCTGAATTTCCCTTTTATCTATGCAGAAGAACAGTATCAAATTTTCTTGCTAGTGATTTCCGAGACAAAATAGACCGATTGATGGTATCTCGAATAGAAAGACAAACATATCCAGTTGGAAGTGAAGAAGGAGAAGATGAGGAGATTAGCCAAGATAGAATGAATCAACTGGTGTCCTTCTTACAACAACGACAACAACAAATGCGTCCAGCGGACAGTCAAGAAGAAAAACAACAAGTGCAAGAACAAAAACAGCAACAAGAAGAGGAGGATATGACAGAAGAAGAAGAAGATCATCATCATCATCATCATGAAGAAGAAGCAAGGAGCCTAATTAGCGCTCAATATCAAGAAGCCAGTGATGATTTTGATCAATGCACATCATTGCAGCCTTCTCCATCTCACATGACGGCATGGAGTTATCAAGATAATGAAGTGGGGGATGATTCTGATCGAGCTGCTTCTATATCTCCACCCCGACATTTGCCATCTCAATCTTATTATCCAAATAGTAGGGAATGTTCACCATCCCCATCCTACCATCGTCGACATTATTCTTCCTCCACAAATCATCCTTCAATTGTGAGTTTAAATTTTTTTTTTTCTTCTCTAAAGTTACACCAGTATAAAGTTCTGAGGTTACTGGTCAGTGTAAATAACACTGCTGAACTTGCAGGAAATGGAACTCATATACGATATGAGAGGGCAGATGGAGCAACTCTATAATGAGATGTCAGAGCTACGAAAAGCTATAAAGGGTTGCGTAGACATGCAAATGATGATGCAACAATCCATCAAGCAGGAAGTTCATTCAGGTCTGTTTTGAATTCTCTTTCGGGTCGCCCTAAAATATCTCTTCAATTCAATTTAAAAAGAATACCAGACAACTTGGTTCCAATGCACTATCAAGGAACCACTGAAGAGGCACTAAAAACATCCTTACTCTTGTACTTGTTTTGACCCTTAAGATTTACTTTGGTCTTTTAGAACAGTTTTAATTACTCTTGCGAAGCTATAATACCGGGGCTAAAAGAGTGAGTTTCTGCATAGATTTTGCATCATTCCTTATGTTCTACCAGTTTCTTGACAGCAAACTGTGCAACTATATTACAGGTCAAGCAGAGAGGAAAAGGTCGTCTAATGGGTTACCAAAGAAGGGCAATTGCTGCATTTGCCATGAAGTGAAAGTTGACTCACTTTTGTATAGGTAACTTGCTTGTGAAGCTAAGGCTTCCCATCTGAATTTCAATTCTTCATTTTAATTTTGTGCTGGCTTTACTCATCTGTCGAGATATCATTTCTTATTTTGCAGGTGTGGGCACATGTGCACCTGCCTCAAGTGTGCTCATGAGTTGCAATGGAACAATGGAAAATGTCCGATATGTCGAGCTCCAATTGTGGATGTCGTGAGGGCACACATGGATTATTAGACTGCTGGTGCCCGGTGAACGAGTTCTTGCTTCAGAGGACCGTCTTTCTTTCTGAAAATCAACATAGTGAAGCACACACTGGAAGAGGAAGCTAATTTATACATCTTAACTATTTACTGTCTACTTTTCTTTTTTGTAAATGTCAAGTCATGGGACATCATACCTGGTTTCTCTTTTCCACATATACTCTTGTGTATGTTTTTTGAGGAGAGACCGGAACTAACAAACTCTCTATTCATCTTTTGATATACAATTTGAAAAACGAAAAAGGTGCCACTTTTAGGAAACATGCTTTCTTTATATCTGTCTACATTAACAAATAGATTCTTGTTCTGAACTGACCATGATAAGAACTCAAGAACATCCAGATTTATATCGTTTAATGTTACCAATTACGAAAACTAATTCGAAGCCAAAATTAGTGGTGTTACCAAAATGTTTCTGCACATTAGAAATCGAAGCTGCATATTCTAGTAAATTTTACTTTTTCTGCAGATCAAAATGGTACCTGACTGATACTGCATACGTCAAGGTTGCTGTAATCAACCGATCTAACATATATTTATAAATTTACATGAGACTCCCCGTTGCAAGAGTTCATATTTCTTGTAGGGTAAAAAAACATAAATAAACCTTATGGAAGCAACTAACAAGCTCTACAATTCATAATGCATGCCAAGCATTCAAGACCAGTAAATCTTTTCCTTATCAACCTAGCCAAGTACAATAGTTGGTGTAACTTTACTGTTCTAGTGTATGATTATGATGTGAAGGTTTGCTTACCAATTTGCAGAAACAAACAGAATAACAAAATTATAGGATCTTGCTGGGAACTTTTACCGTTTTAGATGCAAAGTAACCAAAGAAGATGCCTTATATTTTACATTCTCTTTTCTCTTTTCCTATGTGTTGAAGAACAACCATTTCCAAGCTCTAGCTGCTTCAAATGGTATAGCTATGAGCCTATGTTCGTTGTCTTTTTTTTGCTGCATCTGCACATGGGTTGATCAAACTGTGAATTTTTTAAATTACCTGTGGACCAGATATTTATTTATTTTCTTCTTCATGGATGGGTCTTATCTAAAAATTAAAATGCTGGCCCCTGGGAGATGCCAGCAGCCCAGAAAGCACCAAGGTCTACATGTTAGGAGGAGCACATACATGGGAGATAGACACAAAGACAAGGGCACTAAGCCCCTTTCCTTTCAATGTAATTAAGAATGCCTCCTAACAACTCATCATACAGGCCAAGGCATCCATTATTAATTTATTATAAATTATTCTTGTCATTTTCTTTTCTTTCTTTTTTTCAACAGATTTCTTCACTAATTAGGCTACAGTAAGAAGAACCAAGTGGTCTCAAGTGATGACAATCTTTAGTTTTGAACATATTCTTTTGACACTTAGCAAGGAAACAAATTTGAAGTTACCAATTCTATCAAAAACAACATCATGGTTTTCAAATTGCTAGATTTGGCTATAAATTACATGCTCTTATTGAACCAAATATTGGAGGGCACTTCAACATATTTAATGATCAACAGCTCTCTTTCCCTCTAGCCTATCCCCCACACGGTACTAGAAACTCGGAAAGGAGTTTGATATGAATTATTATTGGTCCAATCCAATCATAGATGGGGCACATTGTGCGAGGTTTCTCGTGACAACATGTCTCTAAACCCTAGCTATTCCAAGCCAAGGGGTAAGACAACTTCACCATTTGATTTTCGTACGAACAATAATGCAATTTGGGCATTGATTTACTCCCTCCAAGACAATAAGGAAGATCCCATCACAACCTTATCATGATCCAATTGGATTTGGAAAAATGTCTGAAAGTGTTCCCTCTATCATTCTCAGAAATAAAAGAGTTCCAGCTATGGATCCTGGAGGCATGTTACATGTAGCCTTGACGTTTTAATGTTGTGTTCTTGCTTTATTTCGCTTTCTTACATTGCCTTGCAATTTCCATTCACCCCCTATGACACTTCACCATAGCGTGCCTAAAACCACCTCTTTTGTCATGAACTTTTATGTGCGCATGCATTCTACTATTGGATGGAACAGAGTGACTGTTAGGTATGGGTACCGATACACAGTAGTTAATAGTTATTACATTGTTCGATATATTGAGAATGTATCAAGTACTGTAGATTGATATCCAGTATCGGCCAATCATTGCCCTATACTATTTTGATTCATTTTTTAGTTGGATATGAGAGAGAACAGTCTAAATAACTTATGAAGGAAGAGAAAATAATGAAGTATTGATAATGTTGGTTTCTGTCCTAATTAATAAGACAAAGAGGTGACTCAAGGCAAATGTACATCATCCCTGTCTGTTTGCCTAATTTTTGTGATTCACAAATCTCCATCATTATAGGTGACTCAAAACACATGGCTTGTTATCTTGTGATTGTGATTGAAGAATTTATATTGATTTAATTACTATAGAAAATTATTCTGTTACAAATACTATTAACTACCACCGTCTAGTAAACCAAACCATCAAGTAATACTATACAATGTAGTTCCTACACCTATATGGATGGAAAATAATTCCAACCCTAAAAGCTAAGCCTATGATGAGTTACCTCATTTTCTAAGCTCAACCCCAACAAACAAATTTTGGCTACTTCTTTATTGGCCAGGGAAATTAATATAAAATAAAAGCAACAAAAATGTGATAGAAAAAAAATTAGGAGTTCATGAGGGGATCAATCTAGGATCATGTCAAGAGTGACTTTTTTCACCTACCCTTTGTTTTTCCTTCCATTCTGCTGCCTCTGGTGTGAGAGAGATCCTTGCTTTTATTAATAAATATTATATGGTTGCTTCTTCTCTTGAACAAGCCTGCATGATTTCATGTTTTTATATGCCACCCAAGTTTTTCACTTTGACAAATTCTTCCAAATTCTTTGAAATATGTGTGATGGATTGAAAGAAGACACTTGATGGGGAATGTGTTTAAGGCTCATCCAACAAGTTCAACTGCAGATGACATACATGTTGGGAACCACTTCAAATCAGCCTGCAGATTGAAAGGCCATAAAAATTCTTCAAAGTCAGCCAGTCTATGGCCATATTTACTATTATTAATTCAGTCATGTTGCATATTGGATACAGTTGGAAATTACTGAACTATTTGATGGCTATCATTCATCCTGCCCAAATGAGTAGGACCCAGTGCCTAATTATGCAAGTAATTTACTACTTCAAATCACTCGAGTAATTTTGTTGTCTACAACTACAAGTTGCAGGCATCTTTGATCATACAAATTATTCTCTGAGTTCTTTTTATTTTCTGTGGAAAATCTGCAAAACCCAATTTGCTGTGTTAATAATTAACTTCTGTCATTACGATGAGTTAGGTTTTGACTTAAAGTTTGAGATTATAAATGAAAACCTACTTGACCCACAGACAAACAACATGCTTATAAATACTAATTACTATTTTTAAATCATATAATAAAAACTAAAAAGCCTTCAAAGAACTTTAAACTATTTTAGTTTGAAGAGCTCAAACTAATATGTCTTAGTCAAGCCAGGCATTGTTGGTTACAGTTTGATTAGCATATCATAATCTTGAGATCTTCTCATCCAGCTCAAAAGAGAAGAGCAATGATTGGTTACTCTCATGGACCCCACTCCTTCAACTTGGGATTGAGGACGCATGGAGACTGAGCAGTAAAGGCACAAAGTGTGGGGAAAAAAGAGGGTCCCTGAGAAGGCTGGCAATGGCACCACAAAACCATCCCCACAATTTCTTTTGCTTCATCAAAATTACAATTATAATCTCTAGACTTAGTTAGGATGGTGTCGTTTTCAAGCTTATGCTCTCACAGACCCCAAAAAGTTGTGCTGCCCCTGCCCCTCACAAGAGGGTTGTGTATGGCAGACCCCAACCCCCCCATGTTACAACTTAGCCAAACTTGTGCCATGTCCCCACTTTTGTCTAATAAAATCCCCCACTTCATTCCTAAGCTCTCCTTAAATTCTTGAGCTTCTTCATCTTCTCCTCCTCTCTTTCCTTCACCACCAAACTCATCATTTGTTCTTCACATTCAACACAAAGATCAAATAAAATGTGCTCCTCTAAACCAAATTTGCAAAGAACCACTAGTGTTCCTCCATCAACACCTAAGATGAATCGGCGTCCGGTTCTCCAGCCAACTGGCAATCAATTTCCAGGCTTGGCACAAAGGAAGTCTCTTAAAAAGAGCTCCCAAGAACCTCTTGCTCCAACTCCTCTGCCTTCACCTCTACCAAGTGCTAAAACTAAGGCCTCTCTTTCTCCTCCCATCTCTCCCAAGTTACCTTCACCTAGACCACCTGCATTCAAGAGAGGAAAAGATCCAAATGAGCTGAATTCTAGTGCTGAGAAGCTTGTGGCACCTCGATGCACAACCAAGTTTACAAGTTCTGTGAAAAAGTCAAAGAAGTCTAGTGGCTCTGTAGCTGCTGCTGCACCTTCTGCTGAAAGTATATTGAAAAATATATCCTCTTTGATAGTGGAGGCACCAGGAAGCATAGCAGCTGCAAGGAGGGAGCAAGTTGCAACAATGCAAGAACAACGAAAGATGCGAATTGCCCATTATGGAAGAACCAAGTCTGCCAAGAATGAAGGGAAAGTGGTTCCTCTTGATGCTTCAGCTACAACTGATTTTAGTAGAGACCAAAGGCGGTGTACTTTTATCACACCTAACTCAGGTATGCAGCTTAACAGACAAGGTTATGTTATTGACAGATTGTGGAAGTTTATAAGACATTTGAATAATGTGTTTATGGTGTACTTGTTTGCAGACCCTATATATGTTGCTTACCATGATGAAGAATGGGGAGTTCCTGTCCATGATGACAAGTAAGTCTCTCTCTCTCATCCCTCTGTCTCTCACAAACACACATACATTTCTTAAACTAAATAGCTAATTTGCTTGTGTCATATTTGCAGTCTGTTGCTTGAATTGCTGGTGTTAACTGGCGCTCAAGTTGGATCGGATTGGACTTCAGTCCTGAGGAAAAGGCAAGCTTTGAGGTGGGTGTGATTTCAAAATTCCATTACTCTTCTTAGTCCTACAAATATTGAAAGAAACCAATAATATAGCTACTTTGTTCTTAATCTTACCAAATGCAGTATTTCTTTATGCAGGGAGGCCTTTTCAGGATTTGATGCAGATGTTGTGGCTAAATTTAGTGAAAGAAAGATAACATCAGTGAGTTCTGATTCTGGTATAGATATAAGCCTCGTTCGAGGAGCTGTTGACAATGCTAAACGAATTATTCAGGT